ATATCTTTGCTTCACTCTTGTTTTTGAAATACAGTTTTACCCAGCAGAATTTGGAAGACTTCGTCAACTACCTGTTGGTTTCCATTGATGATAAGAAGTCTGCTCTTAGCCTAACCATCATTTCTAATAGGTGATTAGTCTATTTTTTCTGGGTGCTTTGAAGATCTTCTCCTTGCCTTTGGTATTTTCCAGTTCTCTGTGATGTGTCTAGATGTTAACTTTGTATTTATTCTGGTTGAGATTCAGTGAATTTCCTGAATCTATTGATCCATGCTTTGACCAGCATGTGAGTCAGGGTTCTCCAGAGAAACAGAATGATTAGAATCTATATCTAGAGAGAGATATATACAAGAGGAGACTTATCGGGAGAATCGGTGCACGGGATTATGGTGGCCGAGAAATCCCACAGTAGGCTATGTGCAAGAGGAAGAACCAGGGAAGCTGGCAGCACAGTTCAGTTCAGTTCAAGTCCAAAAGCCTGAGAACCAGGGAGGCTGATGGCATAACGCTGAGTCCAAGGTTGCAGGTCTGAGAACTTGGAGTCTACTGCTGCAAGTCCTGGAGTCCAAAGGTTAGAGAGGCTGAAGACCTGATGTTCAAGGACAGGATAAAGGTGTTCCAACTCCAGGAGAGACAGAAAATTCACCTCTCCTCCACCTTTTTGTTCCATCAGGCCCCCAGCTGATTGGATGATGACCATCCACAGTGAGGGTGGTTCTTCCCCACTCAGTCTACTAACTCATATGTCAATTTCCCCCAGAAACACCATCACAGACACACCCAGAAAGAATGCACCAATTCTCCTGGTAAATCTCCTCTTGTATATATCTCTCTCTAGATATAGATTCTAATGATTCTGTTTCTCTGAAGAACCCTGATTCACATACTGGTCAAAGCAGTAGATTCAGGAAATTCACTGAATCCCAACCAGAATAAATACAAAGTTAACATCTAGACACATCACAGAGAACTGGAAAATACCAAAGGCAAGAAGAAGATCTTCAAAGCACCCAGAAAGAAAAGACTAATTAGAAATGAAGATTAGGTTAAGAGCAGACTTCGAATGCATCTCTCAATCTAGTCAAGTTGACACTTAAAATTAATCAGCACAACCAGTCCTAGAAACTCTCTCTCAGATTGTTAATTCTAATATTCTGTTCATTCTCTCTTCCAGGAAGCATGAGTAGAAGTTAGGTGTCATTCTAATATCTTCCTCTGTGTCTCTTAATCTCTTTTATATTTTCCATCTCCTTATGCCTACATGCTACATTCTAAACCATTTCTTCCAATGTAATTTGCATTTCACTAATTTTCTTTCCAGTTTTAACTAACTCTTTAACCCATCTGCTGAGCTATATTTTTTTTTCACAACTACATTTTTCATTTCCATAAGTATCTGGACCTTTTTCAAACGTAGCTGATCATTTTCAATAGTCTCAAAACTGAGAACTTGCTCATTTTTTTTCAATATTATCTTTTATTTCTTTCTAATACCTGAAGCTTTATAGGGGTCTTTCAACCGACTCTTATGCATGATGATGTTTATTGATTGTTTTTTAGTGAACTCATATTTGACGGAACTTAATTCGTTGGGCCCCTAGGGAAACTGGAACAAGAGCACTTCGCTTCCCAGGGAAGATTTAGTCTGTTTCCACTGGGGCGAAGAAGAACTGCATAGAACCATTTCAGCTTCCTGGCCTTGAAATTCCTGAATCATAGAGGTATTATAAAATTGGACCGGAGACCTTGTGAGAACAGGACTGTGCTTACAAATTCCCAAAGCATACTTTCCCTCTTGTGTCACTCTCCTCTGAACATTAACAAGGACCCACAGGGAATCTCACAGGCTTTCTTTATGGCCTGCAGACTTTCCCAGCCTACCACCCACTGAGGGTGTAACCTCTGAGAGCAACTCCTCTTTCCCTGTGAAAGAGTTCATCTCAAAGTTCCAGACTTCCGGCATTCTCACCTGCACCTATAGCACGGGCTTCTGTGTCTGCCTCTGCTTTCCATCCCGCTCTCAAGTATTCTATTTTTCCTTGTCCTTTAGAGATTTCTCTCATTTTCTTTTGAGTTCAGCAATAGATTTAAAATTATGAATACATAGCGACTGTTTTACAAAAGAAGGTTTTCAAAATGTCTAGTCCACCCTATTTTCCAAAGTCAAAACCCCTTTTATTTCTTTTAAATCATTTCTCCTTATTACTTATATTAATTCCTTTGTTTCTAGAAATAGATGCCTAGTTATGTTAACTCAACTAGTTACTGTTATCTTTGGCTATGAAGAAACAGGGAATGTCATCATAAAGAGAGAGAGTCGCCACACCACTCCCCTTACTCCTGGAAGGTCAGTGGTTTCTGTCTTTAGAGTAAGGTGCCCTGAATATTGGGCACCACACCAGCCCAGATACGAGGGGAGACTGACAAACCCGGGATTTACTTCTGAATCACTGTATATTTATTCTCACATGCTTAAACTTCAGTTGCCTCCAAAGTACTCTCTGATGCAAATACACCTATCAAGCGCTCAAGACAGTTTTTGAACTCGTCAATTTTGGTGCCTATTAGTGCTTCTGCTGGTTTTTGTTTCATTTCCACATCAACAAAACGTTTCCCTTTGAGGACTTTTTTCATTCAAGGAAACCAAAAAACAAAAAACAAAAATGTTGCTCGGGGTAAGATCAAGACCAGATGAATAGGAATGGTGGGGCAGGGGGTTCATGCTGTTTTTGGTCAAAACTTCTGAACACTCAGTGCAGTGTGGACAGGTGCCACATATTGATCAAGTAAATCTCTCATCATGAAATGGGTAAATGTGTTGAAAGAATCTCCAAGAAAAAAATTCACTGAAACCAACTGCAGCCTCTCACAATAACTCTAGCTGGTACTCTGATGCTGATGGGTTCCAAGAATGCTTACCTAGCAGGAGAAGCCTGTACTACAAGGGGCCTGCCCTCCAAAAATTAATTCTCTTTTGGGTCCCCCTTGTAAGAATATATATGTCTTTGGTTGAGTCTAATTAGCTAAACATTAGGTGTGCATGCTGAACAAACACATCAAGAAAATGACTTCTTTATGTTAACCTAAACATCCCTACAGGTACAGGCATAAGCATCTCTGACTTTTAAATATGTAACTATATGCTGTTATAATATAGCATGGAAGTGGTAAGATTCAATAAATAACCATAGTAAATGTTTACATACAGCATGTTGGTTAGTCAAGTAAAAACGTTTCCCCATCCACAATCTGTTCAGACCACCTGCAATTTAGAGATAATCTTCACACACACACACACACACACACACACACATACATACACACATCTATTAGCATATTCTAACCTACTCTTTTTCAATGAATATTTTAACTAGTTTTCTTCTGCCAAGTGAAAGAGACAGCATGATGCTATAGAATGGTGTTTTTTTTTTCTGAATAGGTTTAAAGTAATTAGATCCAAATTCAACCCAAAATCTGGAAAGAGAGGTAAGAGCCCTGTCAGCTACAAGCTCTATACTACAAGGAATAAAGACTATCTCCAGCATGGAGTGACACCAGGACAGGAGCCTAGACGAGGAACTCAGAAAGATTACCAGCTCCTGAACCTAAACTTCACAAAATTATTTTTTCATTTTGGCTGTTAGATTAAGTTTCTAGAGAAACAAAGATACTATTTTTCTAAGAAAAGTTTAAAACAACCAGGCACAATGACTCACGTCTATAATCCTAGCACTTTGGGAGGCTGAGGAGAGAGGATTGCTTGAGTCCAAAAGGTCAAGACCAGCCTAGTCAATATAGCGAGAGCACATCTCGCCAAAGAAAAAAAAAGATTAGCTGGCCATGATGGCACACATCTATAGTCCCAGCTACTAGGAAGGCTGAGGTAGTAGGATCACTTGAACACAGGAGGTTGAGTCTATAGTGAGACATGATCATGCCATTGCACTCTGGCCTGAGCAACAGAGTGAGACTCCAACTCAAAAAAAAGCTTAAAACAGCTTTTCAAGTCTTTTATTAACATTTTGGATTATCTTACCACTATATTTGTTCTTATAGTCAACTATCATAAAGTATGGTTGCTCTTTATAAACTCTGATTGAATGTCACAGTAATAGGCATGTTCATGGATAAGAATAAGATATAAGCTTTCCTGACTATGATAAAAATCACTAGCTAAAGTACCACATGGGAAGAAGTATAATGGCTAAATTTTCTGATTTTTTTTTAACAAAAAATTTAGACATCCAGACTTTAAATCTGAGTTCTATCACTCACTAACTCTAATCCAACAAATTACTTAATTACATGAACTTATTTTTTCATCTGAAACAAGGAGAGTAATAGAAAGCATAGCATAAGAACATCATGAGCACTGAAAGAAATAATGTAAATAACACACTTCACAAATGCTTGACATATAGTAAGTGCTCAAAAAAAACCCAGTAGTGATAGTAGCTGTTACTTTCGCCAGTATGGTTACTTTGTGATGATGGTGGTTTGGAATGGTTTAGGGAGACAAGACTTAAAGCACAATACAATTTAACTTGGGGAAAATTGCTTATAACCAGGTTTTTTTGTTTTTTTTGAGTTGGTGTCTCACTCTGTCACCCAGACTGGAGTGCAGTGCCAGGCTCCCAGCCACCGCAGCTTCAACCCGCTGGGCTCCGGCGATTCTTCCACCTCCACATTCCAAGTAGCTGGAACTACAGGCGTGGGCTACCCCGCCAGGCTAATTTTTGATTTATTGTAGAGATGAGGTCTCGCCAGGTTGCCCAGGCAGGTCTCGAACACGCGGGCTCAGGCAATCCACTCACCTCAGCCTACCAAAGTGCTGGGATTACAGGCTGAGCCACCGAGCCTGGTTATAACCAGGTTTTAAATAGCTCTCAATTCCTGGAACAAATAGCAAAACTAAAGCAAAATATAACTATCCCAGTGTCTAAACTTATTTTTTAAAGCAGTAATTGTAATTCACACAGGATGTTTGAGGTCTGTATTACCTTATCAAGTGCTGTGTATGGATTTGCTGCATTAAATCCGAAAGGGGCATAGCGTCTGAATCTCTCTCTGAACTCTGCCTGCTTCCCCTGCTCAGAGCAGAAAAATATACAAAGTGAATCTCAAACAACCAGCTTCAATTATCTTTGCAAAACCTTTCTTTAAAAAACACACACACACACAATGTGGTAACTAACTTACATCAAACGCAACACATCTTTTCCTTATAAGAATGACTTCTGCATTTTGGAGAGGTGAAACTTCGTGTCTGATGGTTGCTGCGATCTTTTTGGTAGTTTCCCATCTTTCAGGTAATTCCTACCAAAGCAAAGGTGCAAAGGGAATATTACTTCGATTCCTAAAACAAATCAACCCCATACAATTAAATAATTTAAATTTTTTTTACACTAACCCATGCCATCTTTTCATTCTTATATAAAAAGTTTAGCCAAAAAAATAAATAAAATAAGAAATTGATTAAAAGGCTTAGCACCAGGGCTGTAGTACAAACTGTCCCACTGGCATTTCAGGGTACAGGTCTTCCAGGCATGTGCCAGAGCTGTCCTCATCTCAGAACCAATGGAGATCTTTTCAAAAGAAACACACACTTCTCAACAGTTCTGCTGTTGTGGGAATAAAATTAAAGGGGGAAATGACTTTGCTGATCTCTGACAACAAGAAATGGAAGCCAGCCATGTTTAGCAAGTGAAAAGAGATGCTTTGAGTCTGGTGGGGCCAAGATGAAAATGTAAATCTATCTCATCCTGTCTTTCTCTGGCTCCCAAAGCTCTGTGTGATCTCTTTCTTCATAGAGAGCTTGAGTGTTGAGGTTGCTTATTTTAGATGACTAGGATTTTTGAAGGGCGAAGAGGCCAAGGGAAGTGAAGGTTTTCCTACTTGATATAGGACAAAAGCAGCAATAAACAGTTCAGGTACCCACTCAATCTGCTCTCCTTGCCTACAATACAAATAGGACAAAAGCAAGTTTTAAGAGCTGTGGTGCATAACTACTGTTGAAAAGCATTCCTTGTGTCCAGACTAACAAAGCATTGTTTCTCTGGGTCATCTCCTGGGACACAGAAATTGTTTTGTCACACAAAACCACCCAGAGTGATGGGACTTCACTTGTGTAGCCGAAGTGCAGAAATTAAAGGTTCTAAAGACTATTTTGTAACCCTTGATAAATATTTGATGAATGAGTCAGTAACTGCCAATTATGAAGAGTGCACTGGGCTAAGTATAAATACCATTTGTGTGGTGGAGGGATTGCCGCAAAGATAAAACACAATCTTTGACTTAAATTTATTTATAATCTGTCACTGTAAGCAAGAGACACACAAAATAACTGTTCCACATGTCAGACTGTGTTAACTTCTGCAGGAAGTCTATGCATTATGGAATCTAAACAGTTGGGAGAAAACATGGTATCAGGACAGGAACACCAAACCAGCTCAGGAACCAAGAGATTCGGGTTCTAAACCTCCTCGTCCTTCCCTCTTTTGCTTCTTCTCATCAATACTCTGTAACCTCATCTGCATGTCTGCATGGAGTCTCACTTTGATTTTCCATTTCCATTCCTTGGAACCTACATATCACATGGGGTCCCTTCCAAGACCATGGTGAGAAGCCAGGGAGAAGTCATGGCCGTAGCTCAGGCACCTTAATCCTCTGCAAACACAGCAAACCTGCTTTGTATTTGGGGAACCTCAGTGAGCTTCTACAGGATAAAAATAAGCTTTTGTGAAAACCAGAAGATCAGATGATCTCCAAAGTCTCTCAAAGTCAGATGACCCATTCAAGGAGGAGAGAACATTGAATCAGGCTCAAAGGAATGGTGAAGTTTCAGCAGGCAGAAGTTAGGGTGAGAGCCTTTGCGATCCTGTGAGATACAAGGACCAATACACAATGGGGTGAAAGTGTGGCCTCCTGCGGAAACCGGACAGTATTCAGGAGGCTAGAGGCAGTCAATGAAGTTTTCTGAGCATGGAAGAGACTGGATAAAACCTGTAGATTAGAACTTTAATCTCTCTTCAGAGTATATTGTAGGTGGGGTGAGAGGAGGAATGAAGTGAATGAAGAAGCTACTGGTGGCCATTGCCTTACTAGACTCTGGTGTGGCCATGTGCTCTTTGAGCTATGGCCATCACCATGTTTTCTGGCTTTGGCCCCCTTCCCTGTCTTGGAGAGATGAATCTCCTCTTTCTCTCTCTCATTTACTTTCTAAATAAACTATTGTTTTCAATCTAACTTCTGTGTGATTCTTTGCATATTTGATGTGGCATGGGATCACACACCAGACACCATACACCCAGCAGGCCTCACCTAACATTCTGGAGGCACCGCTGGGAGTGTAACTTAACATTTTTGGAGATCCCACTGAGATTTGCCGCTGTCTCTCTCACTCTTCTATTTTCTAATCCAAGTCTCTCTGCGGAGAGAGATAAGGTGCTTGACTATCTTTTTTTTGAGTTGGAGGCTTACTCTGTCACCCAGGCTGAAGTGCAGTGGCACGTTCACAGCCACTGCAGTCTCGACCTGCTAGGTTCAGGCGATCCTTCCGCCTCAGCCTTCCAAGTAGCTGGAACCACAGGCACAGCCACCACGCCTGGCTAATTTTTTGATTTATTGTAGAGATGAAGTCTCGCCAAGTTGCCCAGGCTGGTCTCGAACCCCTGGGCTGAGGCAATCTCCTCCCAAAGTGCTAGGATTACAGATATGAGCCACCACGCCCAGTCTGCAACTCACTTTTAATTTTATCACCCATGATGAGCTACATTGAGTGAACCTCTTCCTGTCGCCTCAGCCTTGTCCGATATGAAATAACATCTCCGGTGATATTTCCCTGTCACTGTGGAAGGCCAATACCATCCCACTCCTCTCATCAAAAGCAGAGAGATGTCAATGTCCCATCTCCAGAGTAGAGGTTACCTGGGATTCACCCTTTAACATACTGATCACAGTGAAAAAAACTTGAGGACAAGCTGCAGGGACATCTACATATGGACTCAGGAATTCACTGGTGCAACTGTGGAAACTGCCTGGACACCTGTAGTGGGTATCGAGCCCACTGGGGTAACTATAAATACATTTTACCAGCTATCAAAACCAAAATGTCATAACAGTGGCTATAATGACCTTTATTATAGTAGTATTAATTCTAATAGTCTATGCTTGTACACAGTGCTTTGTAAACAAATACTAAAGCTACTTATCAACTCCAAGGTCTCTGTCCTCTCCTCCTCTCCTCTTATTCTAGACAGGTAGGGACAGTTCTATGACCCCTGTTCAGCAGAAAGCAGCCACAGAAGACTGACCCTCATCCCTGTTCCCAGGTACAGTAAGAATATTTTAAAATAACAAGAGGGAGAAATGAAAGAACATAACCTGAATTTAATATACCAATGAAAGGACATGACATGGATTTCATATACCCAATGAGCAGCCATTTTAACAAGTTCCAAATCTCATGTCTTTCTAGCAGTTCACTTAACTTCCCCTTTAATCGATAGCCAAGGACAGAATGGATTTCTCAGTGGTAGCTATTGATAATTGCTCTACAATCCCCTCCCCAACTTGTTTTTTACTAATTAACTTTTCTGTTTCAAGTATTTGCCTCCATCCATAAGACCCAAGTTAACCTAATCAGCCCCTTCATGACCTACGTGACAGACATGCCCTACCACCATGACAGCAATTGTGTGACTAACCCACCCATCTGCCTTCTGTCCATCACCTGATATCAATACCTGCGCTTACCTGTCCCTTCGTGATGACGTGGAGCAGACCACCACTCAATCACCTTAACCACCTTCCCACATTAAAGGGAAGGATTAAAAGCATTCAACCTCAAGCAACCAGTTGCCATTGCATTACTAGACTCTAGTGGGGCCATGTGCTCTTGGAGCTATGGCTGTCACCATGCTTCCTGGCTTTGGCCCCTTCCCTATCTGGGGGAGGTGAATCTCCTCTCTCTCTCTCTCTCTCTCTAATTTACTTTCTAAATAAACTAAATTTTCCAATCTAAAAAAAAGGAAGTTGCTATTGTGACTTAGGTGAGAAGTGAAGAGAACTGAATAAAATAGGTAAAACAGATATGGAAAGAGGCAACAAGCTGAAGAGATATTGCACTAAGAGACAGACCATCTTGCTGGTGGTGAATTCTCATGACTTTGAGGAAATAATACTTCAACTCTTAGTAGGCACGGCCACATCTAAGAGTTTTTAAGCACAGAGCTAAGCATAGACAAGTATTTGGAAAAAGTTATGACTGCTCATGATAATAAAAGAGAAATTGAGAGTAACTATCACAAGTTTATTTAATCCAAATAAAATCAGGGTCCTGTTACCCTCCAGATGCAACATGTATTCTTATGAATCTTATTTTTCCTGCTGACTAGCCTAAATTACTGACATAATACACATACGTAGCTAAAAGTGTGTCCTACCTTGTATTGTGTGTATGTATGTATCCTACTTTTGAAATATTTTAAGGTCCAAGATCTGACTCAAAGAATATCCAAATCTTTCTAAACACAAGAAATATTTATGGTTAGTAACTATAGTAACTATTTTATCTCTCAGTCTTGTTATATAACTACCTGTCCACAGCTTGTCATCTCACCCCATGTCTAACTGGCTTGCCAGTACTAAGGACAGTTTTATGCTTAAATAGAATTTAATAATTCATATATAATAATTCTTTGTAGTCTTGATAGTCAAGAGAGTACTTGTAAATACATTGCTGCATTTAATCCTCACAAAACAAAATGAGCAAATACAGACCAAACAGCCACTGTGAAAAAGTTTGGGAAGTTAAATATAGAATTATCATATGATCCAGCAATTCCACTCCTAAGTATATTCCCAAAAGAAGTGAAAACAGGTACTCAAGCAAATACATACCAATGCTCATAGCAGCATTATGCACAAAACCAAAAGGTAGAAACAACCCAAATGTCCATCAACAGATGAGTGGATGAGCAAGTTGCTGTATATACATTCAATGGAATATTATTCAGCCATAAAAAGGAATGAAATATTGACACATGCTACAATGTAAACGAACCTTTAAAACATTACGCCAAGTGGAAGAAGTCAAATACAATAGGTCACATATTGTGTGATTCTATTAACATGAAGTATGCAGAATAAATAAACCCATAGAGACAGAAAAAGATTGGCAGTTGCCAAGGGTTGGTGGGTAGGGCTTGGCAGGAATATAGAGGAGGAGTGGTAGGGAGTGACAGCCAATAGGCATAGGGGAGGGGCGGGATTGGTAGGAGTGGGAAACTGCTGGGGGATGCGGAAGAACACCTCATCAACAAGGGGATCTGCATAATGAGCATCTGAATAGCTAACCCTGAAATATACCCCACATCTTTAAAATAAAAATTTTTTTAAAAGAGTGAGTATTCGTCTGAAAACATACCTAGAGTTGGCTACCTTTGCTGCTTGTATGAACTTGAGCAACTTATTCAATCTCTTTAAGTATCAAATTCTTAACGTGTGAAATGAAAACAAGAATGTCTACAGTATAGACTGTTGTAAGGACATCATTAAAAAGTACATCTAAAGTACTTGGGTAATGGAGACACTCAACTTACGGTAATTATCATTATTCCACTTCTACACTCACCTCCAGCTGAATATAGATGTGCTCAGGCATCTTCTGACCATAGCTTTCCAAGAGTGCGATGGTTTCCTTTAGAGGTTCAAAGAGTTCATCGGTGGCTCTCTGCCGGCTTCTTACAGCCAGAAGATGCCCCATGATGTCAACTAAACCATCATGATCTATTTCACTTAATTCTCTCCGGAGTCCTCCATCTGTCTCCTTTATAAATTCTTGTAGCTCATTCAGACTATTAAATATATATACATAAGGACACATGAACAAATTGTTCATTAAAACATCTCATTGTACAAGACTTATGAATCTTATTTCCATTATGCATCTAATTAAATATCACTTATTATCTCTATTATGAAATTCTCTTAAAATCAACATCTCAATTGTAGAGAGCAGTGAGTGCTGAGAGTTATATTTCCAAATACCAAAGTGCAAAGACTACCTGTCAATGACAAATCTCAAAAGATGCTCCTGAAACATCCAGCTCCATTTCTTAATTATGTTTAACAAGCTCACTTTGAAAGGTTTCATGTCCACCTTGAGCCAACTATCAAACACTCTGAAGTCATCAAACTTGCTCATCTGGATGTACAAAGCTTCATAAATGTCGATCTATAGTTTAAAATAAAATAACTTTAACAATTCAACAAAAAGCCAATTCACTGCATCAAAAGCTAAGGGTTTTCCTTGCCTGTTCTTTGAATTGTTTGAGAGTTGGTGGCTGCTCCGGGATGTCTTCACTTGCATGAGCACCCATTTCCTCAGGTGTCACAATGTGGCCATACAAAAGAAAATGCTTCAGAAACTCGGTTCGGTCATCCACCCAGAGGTAAGCATAGGCCTCCAGGGAGTTTCTGAAATCCAAGGCTTTGGTGACGACGCTCGCCACTCTGTTCATTATCTCCTGCCTGGCCTCTGCCAGGCCTAACATGTTATCCATATCAGTCTAAATGAGAGGAAAATGAAGCACTTATTCTTATGCAGGCCAACTGCTCTATCAATTACATGCAACATACCATTACTAAGGCAGTTCTTCAAAGGGAGAGCAGTTGGCGAAATAAATTATGTTGTTTTTTCCAACTTCTCCTTTTTTGTGCTCCCTATCACCCCAATTCATTTTGGAATCATTAATATAAAAGCTGATACCCACTTACAAGAAAAGTACCTGATAATTTGCTATTTCCAGGTGTGTTGCTATTCGGGTCATCTGGGCAGACATTTTGAAACTATTGCATAGCATTTCTTCTACCACATCATAGAAGCCGTCCCCAGCCTCTCTGTCTAAAGAAGGCTTAAACACAATCTCAGGGGGCAGTAAGAGCATTTGAGCTTGAAAAAATGGTGCAGGTTTCAATTGTTTCTCTGTATTCATTAGAAAGAAGTCTAAGTCATGCATGATAGCCTGAAAAAAGCCTTCCACCACAATGTCATCAATGAATTCTACATAAATTTTCCAGGCATCCAGAGAAGAATTGGCTTTGAAGAGCATCCTATTTTCCTAGATAGAGACAAGTATTAGAGATGAATTATAAAATTTAAAATAACATACAGTAAAATTAGCAACTGGTAAATTTTATTTCTCCTGAACTAACCTAGGCAGATACTCTTAAAAAGAAAAAGAAAGAATTGTTGAGTGGGGGAACTTTTGTATTTTTTATTCACTTCTTTGAGTCAAAATCTTGCTCTGGTACCAAGGCTAGAGTGCACTGGTATGATTATGACTAACTGCAGTCTCAACCTCCTAGACTCAGGTGATCCTTCTGCCTCAGCCTCCCACATAGCTGGGACCTCAAGCATGTACCAGCATGCCTGACTAATTTTTTTTGTTGTTGTAACAATGTGGTCTCACTATGCTGCCCAGGCTGATCTTGAACCCCTGGGCTCAAGCAATCCTCCCTGCTTGGTCTCCCAAACTGCTAGGATTACAGGTATGAGCCGCCCTGTTCAGTCTGTATTTTCAACACAACAAGGTAAAGGGAGAAAGAAGAGAAAGGAGAGCATTGGGTCACTAAGTGGTAGCTCAAGTCTGTTCCAGACTCAATCTTCATGGTCCCGTTCTTCTCTCTATCTTCAATTCTGACTGCAGACTAGTCACCGAAATCCCACTAGGCACAAAGGATACAACATGAAAGGGCAGAATTGATCACCCTCCGCTGTGTTTCCACAGCTTTCCTCCAACCACGTTCCTCACCAGAAGCCTGAGAACTAGGTTAAAGATCACATGCTGATAAGTAGAGAAGTTCCAACCTTATTCTCTGAGATGACACTGCAAAACTTTGTTCTTTAACAATTTCTAGTCATGTCTTATACTGACCTTACTTTCAATGCATTTTAATCAGGATTCATAAATCTTAATGGTTCAAAACCCTTAGAGTTTGGGTAGTACATTTTTTTTATTATCAGGAAAATGTAACAGAAAAAAACTAATTGCAATCCATCATCTGTCCTCCATGAGACAGACTCTAATGCATAAACAGTTGTAGAGGTGTCTTAAAAGTCACAGAATAATTCACAGCATCCCAGTGAACAGCTAGAAATAGTTAATGACATGACTTGGTAAAGATATTGCTCAAGAACAAATTAATTTCCAGACACTTGCCTTCTTTACATGCCAGAACACCCCTGAGATTCTCAAGGCTCCCCGTCTCTGGAAGAGCCCTCAGAGGGAGCTTAGGCCTGCTCACATTTCAATTTCAGACTTCTAACCTCCAGACTATGAGAGAATACATATCTGTCATTTTAAGATACCTTGTTTGTGGTACTTTGTCATAACCACCCTAGGATGCTAAGACAGGTAGTAATCAAAAAAGGCAGAGACAAAGTCTTTGTCCTAGCAAATTGTCATCAATAGGAAAAATTAAAACTTCCTTGGAAATTTCAGACAAACTTGGAAATCAAAAGAAACTTTGAAACCCAAATTAATCTGCTTCTTTTTATCTTCTTTTTGCTACACATATTCACTGCAACATATCAAGTGAACTGCCCCTTACTTTATTATTAAATTTTTTTTTTTTCCCTGAGATAGGGTCTCACTCTGTCACCCAGGCTGGAATGCAGTGGTACGATCATGGTTCATTGCAGCCTCATCCTCCTGGACTCAAGTGATTCTTCTGCTTCAGCCTCCTAAGTAGCTGGGACTACAGCCATGTGCCACCACACCCAGCTAATTGCACCTTACTCCTTGGTAAGAAAATCTGTTACCCTTCAAACACTTTCCTCACTTAAGCTTCCAGGACAACACCCTGTTCTGGCTTCCCCGCTACTGTGGCAGTGATTGTTCCTCTGCACATTGGCTGGTTCTTCCTCTTCTCCCCCGATCATAAGGGGAGAATGGTAGTCAAGCCAATAGTTCTTGATAATCTTCTATTCTGCAGTCAGACTCATGCTCTTGGTGACCACATCCATCTCTTGGCTTAAATGTCATTGCCACCCATTCCTCTTTAATTTGTGTTTTCAGTTTGGACCCCTCTCCCAAACTCCAGGCTAATAAATAAAGCCAATTGTCAACTCAATGTTCTGTGTGGCTAATTGCTGACTCAGACTCAAAATGTCTGAAACTGGAGTCCTATCTCCCTTCTCACTCTCTTCTACTCACAGTGCCCCCTTCTGAATGAATCACAACTTCATCTTTCCAGTTGATCATGACAAAACTCATAGACTAATCCTCAACACCACTTTCCTTCATCTCCACATCCAGTGCTAGGCAATCCTGTTTGCTCTGCTTAATTCAAAATATCTCCAGATTTCAATCACCTGTAGTCACTTCCACTGCCAGCATCGTGGTCTCTGTACCGTCATCTGTTACCTCATACTATGGTCTAACTGTTTGAGTCTCCCCCAAAATTCATATGTTGAAATCTTACCCCCCCACAAGGTGATGGTGTTAGGAGGTGGGGTCTCTGGGGAGGTGATGAGGTCACGAGGGCAGAGCCTTCATGAATGGGATTAGTGTCCTTATGAAATGGGCCCAAGAGAATTTGTTTGTCCCCTCCACCATACTAGGACACAGCATGAAGTCAGCAGTTTGTGATCCAGGAGCGGGCCCTCATCAGAACCTGATCACGCTAGCACCTTGATCTCCAGCAGTGTGAGAAATACATTTCTGTTGTATTTAAGCTATTCACTTCAAGATACCTTGTTCTAGCAGCCTGAACATACTGAGACACCTAGATTGCTGGTAACTATAGCAACCTACCAAGTCTCCCTACCTCTTCCTTTGCCCACCTAGAGACAGGCTCAACACCGCAGCCAGAGACCATTTTCAAATGAAAGACAGATCGTTTTACTCCTCTCCTCAAAACCCTCCAGTGTCCCTCAGCAAAAAAGCCAGGGTCTGCACAAACGCCTGCAAAGTCTCCCTCCGGCTGCTGGTCCCCTCCCCACACACCATTAGCATCTGACCTCATTTCCAGACTTGCCGCATAGCTCCCTTTGTGCCCCCTACACTTACTTCCATAGCTCTTCCTTGATCACTGCCACCCCGACCCCACGCACCATCATTTCCCACCTGGACTGTAATTTTTGCTCCCCTCAACAAGGCTTTGCCCTCAAAAGGGAAGCCTTTGAGCAGAAAGTCTCTGACTGCTGGTACCCTTAGGAAAAACTGAAGTTCTCATAACGGTCTGCCAGTCCCACGCGATGTGCCTTTAGTGCCTCTCCAACGCCATCCCCTATGCCCCTATGACCACTGCCTCACTGTCAGATGGCTCACTGACAGACCCTGTGATAGGCCAAGCCACTCCCACCTCGAAGTGTCTGTACTTTCACCACCCAGAACACCCTTCTCCTAACATCCACAGGCCTCATTCCCTTTCAGTTCTCTGCAGAAACGCTGCCTTCATCAAGAGGCCTTCCCAACGCACCCCCCATATAACATACGACCCCACCCCTGACTCGCTCCTTCTCTCACCCATTCTGCTCTATTTTTCACCATGGCTCCAGTTATAGCTGACATGTTACCTATTTGTTCATTCCTCTTGCTATCTTCTTTTCCTGGAGAGTAAACTCAATGCAACAAGAGTCTCTTGGGGGCTTTATTTCTTTGCTTTTGTTTTATTTTTCTGTCTTTTGTGTTTTTGTTTTCCATTTCTCTTAAATTGATAACCCTAGAATGGTGCCTGCTACTATTTTAAAAACCCAAGGCTGGGCACGGTGGCTCAAGCCTTTAATCCCAGTACTTTGGGGGACCGAAGTGAGAGGATTGTCTGAGCCCATGGGTTCAAGACCAGCCTGGGCAACATGGTGGACCTCATCTCTAAAATAAATCAAAAAATTCGCTGGACATGATAGCGTGTGCCTGTAATTCTGGCTACTTGGAAGGCTGAAGTGGAAGGATCACTTGAGCCCAGCAGGTCGACCCTGGAGTGGCGGTGAATGTGCCACTGCACTCCAGCCTGGGCAACAGAGTGAGACTGACTCAAACAAGAACAACAACAACAACAACAAAACCCTCAAATCTTTGTTAAAAGGAGAGTAATCTCTGTCATCATCCTTAGGGGATGGTTGAGAGGGTTCCATGAGATGACATAAATGAGGTGTCTGATACATACCAGGCACTTGGCAAACAGTGGTGGCTATTAATAGCACCCAAAAGAGGATGTAACTCTGACAAAGATAAAAATTCCACTGCTGGGCTTTTTGTCTCATCAACACATCTCACATTCTAATCTCTTCTCTCAGGAACAAGAATAGTGGGGCTACAGAAATTACAGACACATAAGACAAATTCCCCCACTTTAAGTGCTTCACACAACCACCCCTAAAGCTCTTTTAGGTTCCATAAAAGAGTCCTGCACTAAAGTATTTTTGTGCTTCTCTAAGCTAAATGAAAAGATTTTCCATAAATCCATAAATCATGAAACCTTGAATGCCATTACCTCGACCAGGTGGTGAATCTTACGACCATCTTCTTGGATCAGCTTGTATTTCTTAGTGAACAGATCGCCCTTGTTCTCCAGGGTCAAGGCCGCCTCCCTCCTGTGCTCTCTCCTGGGAGGAAGCACACACCTGGCCCAGGCCCTCATGGTCTGCTGGATGGCCTTCACATTGTCCTGTGCGTGCTCAACCCTGCGCCCCAGCTCAGAAGTGGCCGCGCTCACCCTCTCGATGTAGCCCCAGCAGTCATCCCGCCACGTCAGCCCCGTCACTGCCACTGTGAGATGTTCATCAACCGCCCTCAGCTCGTCTTCAATCAAGGGGTATTCAACTTCCAGAAGAGTCTGCTTCAGCTTATTATAGCCTTGCACAAGCAGGTCAAGACCGCCAATGTACTGAGCAAAGAGAATCCCCAAACAAAAAGTGCCAAGTACGTTAGCTACTCTCTCTCAGAGGCATAAAAATGTCATAGGTCTATAAGGCATTAAAGTTCAAAACATTTCCATTCAAAATATACCCTAATATCTAAAGACACGAACCTTTAAAATAGTGTTCCTTTTTTCGAAGAGGGCTAACGCTGAAGCTGGCATGTCCGCTTTCTTCAGCATCAAAAGATATTTCACTTCTCTCAATACAGCCACTAGCTATTGCAAGAAAGTCATGGATTATTGCGTATTTTAATACTGTCATCCCACTTTAACTTAAGTTGAAGTTGAAACACTTAAAATCTCATCCAGTGATTACTATATTTCTAAATCGTCAAAGGAAATATGCTTTTGTTTCATAGGTTTTTGAAAAATAAAATTCAGGGCAACTCCCTTGGGTCCCCTTCCACTGTGGGAGCTTTTCTGTCCTTTCAATAAATCCTGCTTTCAAAAAGAAAAAGGAAAAAAAATCAAATAGTAGCAGTGTATGAACGATCCCTAAACACCTCAAGAATTTAATTTCTTTTTTTTTTTTGAGTTGGAGTCTCACTCTGTCGCCCAGACTGGAGTGCAGTGGCCACTCCCAGCCACTGCAGCCTCGACCTGCTGGGCTCCGGCAATCCTTCCGCCTCAGCCTTCCAAGTAGCCGGAACTATAGGCGTGCGCTACCACGCCCGGTTAATTTTTGATTTATTGTAGAGATGAGGTCTCGCCAAGTTGCCCAGGCAGGTCTCAAACCCACGGGCTCAGGCAATTCACTCACCTCAGTCTCCCAAAGCATGGGATTACAGGCTGAGCCACCAAGCCCGGCTAAGAATTTAATTTCTATAAATTGATTTTATGAAGTCAGAAAGTAGAGAGAATCCTCAGTTCTCCATATCATATATTTATGTACATGTGCTGAGTTTTCTTAGCAAAATAATGTTTTTTAAAATATATGTTTTAGGGAAACAGATCAGAATCAGGGTGCAGAGTATGACTATAAACTCAGTGAAGCTAACTTGCCCACTTCCTAGGCAAGCATGTCATCAAGAACTCTGGGTCTATGTCATTGAGAACTCTGGGTAATCACTAACAATGAATATATAATCTTGACTACCTAAAAATTCAGCCAGATGTTTAAGGCACTTTGTTTTTTTGTCACTGAAACTTACAAACAGATATTTTGTTATTTTTATTTATTTATTTGTTTTTGAATTGGAGTCTCACTCTGTTACCCAGGTTGGAGTGCAGTGGCATGTTCACGGCCACCAGAGTCTTGACCTGCTGGGCTCAGGTGATCTTGTGCCTCAGCCTTCCAAGTAGCTAGAACTACAGACATGTATGCCACCCAGCTAATTTTTTAATTTACTATAGAGATGAGGTCTTGCCAAGTTTCCCAGGCTGGTCTTGAACCCCTGGGCTCAAACAATTCTCTCATCTCTGCCTCCCAAAGTGCTGGGATTACAGGCATGAGCCACCATGCCCAGCTACAAACAGATATTCTTATAAGTTTGTCTTTTACTGTACAGCATATCCAAGGTAGGTAAACAGAAAAGAAAACTTATTTTTTGCCTCTTATCCAGCAAGTTCTAGACTTGAAGATAGGTTATTTACAATATATATACACATATGTGTATGTATACACATCTAATATTAATTAAATACATGCCATATTGTATAAGTATATACACACACATAACTAGTAATAAAGTTTCAGTGTTACATGACATGCAATGGAATTATGAGAAAATACATGAAATTTCTCTGTTACATGATTTATGATTACAAGACTTGTTCAATATCCATCCCAAATATTATTTCTGTTAATTTTTTATCTTATTTTTTATAAAAATTATTTTTTCTAAATGATCATCAGTATATAACCATATACAAGCTTATTGTCTCTTCAAAAGAAATGATAACAAATCAAAATTTACCACTGCACACCAAAAGCAGCACAGGTCTTCCATTCCCTATAGTCTCCAAATGATGAAATGTTAACTAACTAAAAAACTGGTATGTTTTAAATATATTTAAGCCAGAAACTATCTAATAAGAACTGTGATTCAGTTCAGTAGTTCAGTTGAGCTAACATCTACCAAGTGTTACCAATTGCCAGACACCACATTAGAAACAGAAGGCAGAAGGCAGTAGTGGGAAACTGCCCGGCGGGGGGGGGGGGAATAACTTATCAACAAGAGCACCTGCATAATGAACATTTGTATATCTAAACTTAATTGTATCCCACATCTTCAAAATTAAAAACAAACACAAAATGAAATGGATTTTCCCTTCAATAGCTCATCGTCTCATGAGTGGGGTAGCAAAAATAATTAGAAGACAAAATAGTGAATGAAGAGTCATTCATATAGAATTTGAGGACAAATCTTTAAAACACAAACCTACTAGAAATTGTTTACAGTTCTATCCCTCATAGTACTGATATTTTCCCAAAAACAAATTATAAACGACTAGAAGTATCAGAGATATGCTTATATTAAAAAGGGGCATTTATAAAACATCTTTAAAAAGTAGATCCCTACCTGTGGATCAAAGTTGACACTGAGAAGGCCATTTATGGCACTGAGTTTAACCAAGGGTTGATTCAAATTGAATTCACAAGTTTCATCCACATTATTTTTCCATTCATTATAGATATGGTTTTCAAATTGGTCTAGCAAAGTGGTCATTTCAATATACTTCTGATAAACTATGACATTATCAGGATTGTCCAAGAATCTGTAGGAATAAGGCTTTTCTACTTGTCTATATACAATATATAGTAGATGAATTTCAGCTTAATTATATAATAACACAATAAAAGCATATAAAACATGATATGATTGATAATATACTACAAACAATCAGGAAGAAAAACAACAAATGCCAACTATCTTTTACAAAAACAATTCATAAGCATTAGAGTTGTGAAATGAATGAATGCCAGGATTTTACCAAATGTCAATAGCAACAAGTTACCAACTCCGACAAATGGAAGAAAAAGAACAAAGGGCTACATAACCAACCATACCGCCCATAGTGTTGGTTTTTGGAGAAAGGATAAATAATAACAACAAAACAACTCCAAATATTATGAGTGAAAGAAAAAGTGAAAAGAAAAAAAGGACCAGAAAACATGTAAATATATGAAGTTCTAAGAATCCCATCACAAATATTTCAAAACCAGGGGGATGAAGCTCTCTCCATAAACCCACCCAGGAAAGAAGGTGAAACAGGGCAATGACTTTCTAAGTACTGATGTGAACAGCTCACTATCTAAGATAAAAATCACCCCTGCCATTAGGCTATCTTGCCATGAACTAAATCTTACTACTTACAGGTAATGGAGAGACGCAAAGCTTGACCAAAATGTTTGGAGTCTGTCTAGAATCTCTTTGGCCCACTTGATGTTTCCTGAGGCAAAAGGCATGTTCTTGTTAAGAACCACATGTCCATGTTCAATCTGCAAGTTGATATTTTAGTGAAGAAGAAGAAAGAGACATTTAATCAGAGAGCCATCCAACCTTGTACGCAGTTGTTCATTTACAATAGCACAAATCATGTGTTGAATAATTTGATTAGTAGAAGATTTATAATCCTAAAGCAAGCTCTCCACCTCTATAAGGAAGCCAGTTAAGTAAAAGCTTGGAAGGCCAGGTGCAGTGGCTCGTGCCTGTAATCCCGGCACTTTGGGAGGCCAAGGCGAGAGGATTGCTTGAGCCCAGGGATTTGAGACCAGTTTGGGCAACTAGGTGAGTCCTCATCTTTACAATAAATCTAAAAATTAGCCAGGCATGGTGGCGTGCACCTGTGGTTCCAGTTACCTGGAAGGCTGAGGCAGAAGGATCGCCTGAGCCCAGCAGGTCAAGGCTGCAGTGGCCATAAGCATGCCACTGTACTTCAGCCTGGGTGACAGAGTAAGACTCCAACTCAAAAAAAGAAGATAAATAAAAGTAAAATAAAAGCAAAGAAATGCTAGTGCCTATATCTAACCTTTAGCTATGTCAACTATAGTTCTAGTTGATGGCCATAATCTACAAAAATGATATTGTGAATGTACTTAACCTTCTCCACTACTTACCTGTTTCATGTGTTCATCATATAGTTGCTTACACATATCCAACTCTGCATTAAACATGTGCACTAGTGTGCTGTAATGGGGGCTGAATATTTCCATGACAACTGGTTTCTCTAGAAAATTCCCAAATAAGGTCAAAAGCTATAAAAATCAAAGTTAAAGAAAGGTTAAGAACTATGAGTTTTTAAAACAAATACTTGACTCACAATTTCCCCCCATCACTAGACAGAGAAAAAGTCTAGGACCTGAAAGTATCCTGCAATGCCTCAAAATATAAAATATATTTTTACATCTTCCTAAAATTTCTATACATCCAATAAACCAAATTCTAAATGTAAATAATTCCCTCTCTCAGCAGAAATGGAGAGGGGTCAGAAATGAGCCACTGTCTGTCAGCAGTTTCTGCTCACGGTGAATACTACTTTCTGCTGGGTGCCAGAAAACATTTTAGAAGGTGCTTTGCTGATATTAGAATAGAAGCAATTAATCCTAAAAGGTCTGGAAAAAAATGAAAGAAGATTCATGAATTTGTCACTGTTCTTCCTTTTGACATATGTATTCTTCAGACATAAATATCCATATCCATATTGAGGACTTTGAGGTCACACATGAATAATTATACCAGAAATACCAGCTACCATGACTGCCCCTCCCATGGCCGCAGGGGTATTCAGACCACCACCCCACCAGTGGCCTGGGGCAGGAGTGGTGACTGTTCCCTAGACAACCACCCCACAGGTGGATGGCTCCTTTGACATGCATGTCCTGGCTCAAACCAATTCTTGACTAGTGACTCTCTGAGAGTCAAGGCATGTCTGACTGAATCCATGCTTGCTGAAATCACAAGTGCACAGAAACTACTAGCAAGCAGAGAAAACCAGCAGACAATGGGACAGAAAAAGCAGCCCCATGGACTGAATAAGTTCACATTAGCAAAGGAGAAGAGTAAAAGCCCACAAACTCCTCTTACCCACTCAAGGAGCCCCTAGATTTCAAGCTAACTTTCATTGTTTGCATATGTTGGATTCACCTGCCTATTTTATTACTATCTGAAACAAGTAGCAATTTATATACTATATAAAAAAGTTTAGCTGGGCCAAGTATGGTGGCTCACATCTCTAATTTCAGGACTTTGGGAGGCCGAGGCGGGAGAATCCCTTTAGCCTAGGAGGAGTTCAAGACCAACCTGGGCAATACAGTGAAACCTTGTTTCTACAAAAAATTAAAAAAAAAAAAAATTAGCTGGGTACCTCTAGTCCTGGCTACTAGGGAGGCTAAGGCAAAAGGATCGCCTGAGCCCAGGAGGTTGAGGCTGCAGTAAGCTCTGATTGTGTCACAGCACTCCAGCCTGGGTAACAGAGTAAGACTCCAACCACAACAATAAACAAAAGCTTAGCTATCCAGCAAGCCTAACCTTGGATTCCCATGAGCCTCCTGTCTTCTTTACTGCCCAGTGTGGATTATTTTGTGTGTTAGTATGAGATAGCTTTCCTTGCAAGCAAAATGATATAACTCAAATATTCTTTTTACATAACCAATGTTTCTACAGTGCTACGTGCCAGGACTATATGCTAAGGGCCTTTAAAGTGCTGTTATTATTGTGTGCTCCAGGTGAGGAAACTGAATTCTGGAGAGGAAATAACTTGCTCCAATTCACACAGCTAGTGTAGGAGGTGGGATTTGAAACCTGGCCATCCAGCACTCAGGTCTGGGTGTGACCTTGTAGACACTCATCAGCTAAGGTGCCACTGAAAGTTATTTTGTTATTTAATAACTCTGTGTGGGCATCATAATGTGAATTATTAGGCCTGTTATGTAGATGCTTTATTGAAAAGAAGACACCTTCTCAAAATGACTAAATATATTTATGGTGGCAGAAAAACTTCATCCAAAGTTTGTGCCTTGTTAGCTAATGGCAAAGAAGAGAGCTTTGTTATTTTTCTTAGGGAAATAACAGGTGTCTCCCAAAACTTGCTTTACTCAAAAAAAAAAAATTCACAATAAAAAATGTGTAAACATTTCCATAAACTACATTCACTAAAAAAAAAAAAAAAAAATCATGAAAAAAATTATAAAAACCAAAATATAAATCTAACAATACCTTAGGGGCCAATTTAGACAAACACATTCTGGATTGTTCTGGTAACATCAATTATAACTATAATAGAAACTGCTAAATATTTTTAAATCCAACTGGTTAGCTGCTACCTAGCAAGTTATTAACTTTCTTTTCACAGTCTTTGCTGAGTTTGAGCTTCATGTAAAAATTCAAAAGTAAACACTGCCTCATAGATTCACCAAAAAAACATACTCCGAAACCATTTAAAAATACACTTATTTTGAAACGTTATTCTTTCAAACACTCGTCATATAGACCACAAGTGAAACAGTACCAGAAGCTTCCTAGCTACACGGCTTCTTGCCTACCTGCTAAGTGGTTCTTAACTCCAAGTGTTAAACAGAAAATGCGTAGAGAAAATATTTTTCAGGGGAGGAGGCTATGAAACCAAGAAGTAGTTTTAAAAAAAAAGTCTCAATTTTGACCGGGCAGTGGTACACATCTGTAATCCCAGCACTTTGGGAGGATAAGGTAAGAGGGATGCTTGAGCCCAGGAGTCAGAGACCAGCCTAGACAACATAGCAAGACCTCGTCTCTACAAAAATATTTTTAAAAATAGCTTAGCCTGGTGGTGCACACCTGTAGTTGAGGTTGCAGTGAACCATGATTGTGCCACTGCACTCTAACCTGGGTGACAGAGTGAGATCTCGACTCCAAAAAACAGATGTATCAATCTTTTAATTATAATACATTATCATAATTATTCATCATCCCAAATGTTTAAAAATTACTCTCCAGGATGACAATAAAGGTCATTTTAACCTCCTGCTTCCTTGTCACAGTAGAACTAAGAGATATTTTATGAACTGTATAGAAAATTTTTCTTCACATCAACTTCAAAAGACTAATGATTGATTTCTACCACATGCTGCCTTTCTAAATATGCTATCTGAAATCTGTAAGGTTTACCTAATTTTCTTCTACTTCTCGGTTTTGTTATGTAAAACATCTTTTCATAACACTGTTGTCACTGTTCAAAGTAGTACACATTTATATTTTACCTAGGTCTGCTTTTTTCTTTTTTTTTTTTTTTTTTTAAAGCAGGATTTATTGAGAGAACAGAAAAGCTCCCACAGTTGGGGGGGAGGGCAAAGGGGTTGTCCCGTCTGCCTTTTTCAAAGTGTTTTTTTAAAAATCTGTGACTATCTGAACCACATATGCATCACAATTAGAGAGTTTTCAAATACATTGTCTGAAGTCTTTCCTAGATATATTTTTTTACACACTTCAGTTTAACTTCATGTAAAGTTTTGTATTATTTTTACTTTTTATTTTATTTTATTTTGAGTTGGGATCTCACTCTGTTACCCAAGCTGGAGTACAGAGGTATGATCACAGCTCACCTCAACCTTGGCCTTCTGGTCTTAAGTGATCCTTCCACCTCAGCCTTCCGAGTACCTGGGACTACAGGCGCACACCACCATGCTCAGCTAATATTTTGATTTTTTGTAAGAACAAAGTTTAGCTATGTTGCTTAGGCTGCTCTTGAACTCCTAGCCTCAAGCAATCCTCCTGCCTTGGTGTTCCAGAGTGCTGGGATTACAGGCATAAGCCACAGAGCCCAGCCTCCTTCATGTAAAGTTTAGAGAGCCTAGAGAGCCATTCAGTAGTATTTTGCTTTTTTTTTTTTTGAGTTGGAATCTCACTCCATTGCCCAGGCTGGAGTGCAGTGGCACACTCACGGCCAACCCAGCATTGACCTGCTGAGCTCCGGTGATCCTTTAGCCCTAGCCTTCTAAGTAGTCAGAACTACAGGTGCACGCTACCATGCCCGGCTAATTTTCTATTTATTGCAGAGGCAAGGTCTTGCCAAGTTGCCCGGGCTGGTCTCGAACCTGTGGGCTCAGGCAATCCATTCGTCTCAGCCTCCCAAAGTGCTGGGATTACAGGCTGAGCCACTGAGCCCAGCCTTTTTGTTTCATTTTTAAATGAGTATCAGCACTTTAGGTTTCAAAGTCCTACCATTTTATGCTAGAGTTGAATAGTATTTAGTTCCAGTGCTCTACCTGCCCACGTCTTCTACAATAGCAGGTATCAAATAGTCCGCTTCAGAGAACAGCCCACTATATTTTTTCACAGAGACCAACCGTAAATGGTCAGAGTCCATCATCCTATACCTATGGGTGAAACCGTCTTCTCCCTAAGTACACAAGCTTGTGACTTTTTCTCCTGTCATTACACTTCCAGCAGTTTCTCCTCATCAGTGTGTCATTTCAGTACTGGACTACCCATCAGTGCCCCTGGCCTCAAGCAGTTATTAAACACCTGCCTTGTGGAGCCCATTATACTAAGTGAACTATCATAGAAACCAAGAACTGAATACCATATGTTCCCACCCATAAGCAAGCCCTGATCACTGGTTACACTAGCACAGGGTGGGGTAGGCAGACACTGGACTCTGCTAGGGGAGGGAGGGAGGAGGGTTGGGGGACACGTGGCCACACACTGGGGACCAGGTTCACTATCAGGGGGAGAGAGGGCCCGCAAGAAGCCCAAACTTCACCAGCATGCAACTTTCTTATGTAATGCTTAAAAAAAAAAAAGCCAGCTTTGCACAAGTTACCTCAGAAGGCAACCAAACAGAACAAAGGTTGTAAGATGAAGTGTTGCCCTCTCAGAGCTCATGACAACAGGGTCTCCTCGTATTTTTTCAGAATTTAGGTACAAATAAGTAGAAAGATAAAGAAAACCCTGAATTGTACCCCACATCCTTAAAAATCAAAATTAAAAAAAGAAAGATAAAGAAAAAATATATAACAATAAGAGATAAAATCGCTTAGGAAAAATTAACTGGCATGTACTAAAACAATCCATATTAATGGTTGTGAGAAGGAGAAGAGACACTTGAATTTGAAACGGCAGGAGCTCTGTAATTGAGATTTCACACTACATTCATTTTAAAAGTTATTTATAAGAGCATGAAAGAAAACTAGTTCCAGTAACAGAATATGATTGAGAGTCTACACAGAGACATATTAAAAAAAAAATATGGTTGTCCGGGCTCAGTGGCTCACAACCATAATCTCCGCAATTTGGGAGGCTAAGGTGGGAGAATCACTTGAGCCCAGGAGTTTGAGACCGGCCTGGGAAACACAATGAGACGTTGTCTCTACAAAAAATCAAAAAATTAGCTGGGTGTGGTGTCATATGACTATAGTCCCAGCTACTTGGGTACTTGAGAGACTGAGGCAGGAGGATTACTTGAGCCCAGGAGGTCAGGATTGCAGTGAGCCATGATCATGCCACTGTACCCCAGCCTGGGTGACAGAGTAAGATACTGACTCAAATAACAATGATAATAATAATAATATAACATTATTTAATTTTGTTATAAAGGCAAAAAATGATGGCTCTGCTAAGTGGAAAAGTTTACAATAGAGGATCAGAATATGTCATTTTGTCAAAGATAAATATGTAAGCATATCTATGCAAAGAAAAAATAGAAGCAGAATTAAATACAATAGTACTTGTATCTGAGAGATTACAGGTCATTTGATAACAACAGGCTATACATTTTGATGAACACCATCGCAGTTTCATCCAAGAGGTCTTTAAAAAAATGATGCTCATGATTTCTCCAAGTTAAAATGCTTCGTTGCTTGGCTAGCCATGGTGGCTCACACCTGTAATCTTAGCACCTATGGAGGCCTAGATGAGAGAATTGCTTGAGCCCAAGAGTTTGAGACTAGCCTGGGCATTATAGCAAGATCTTGTCTCTACAAAAAAAAAAAAAAAAAAATCAAAAAATTAGTCAGCAGTGGTGGTGCAAACCTGTAGGTCCAGCTACTTGGGAGGTTGAGGTGGAAGGATCACCTGAGCCCAGGAAGTCAAGACTGTGGTGAGCTGTGATCATGCCACTGCACTCCAGGCTGGGCAACATAGTGAGACTCCAACTTAAAAAAAAAAAAAAAACTTCACTGGGTCCAGAAAACACTGGCAGCTTCACTACTGTCTAGTCAATACATGAAAATTTGATGGACCAAACCTAATAGCATCTTTGAAAGTACGTTTGGTATTGCCATTCTTAATGAATTGAGCCCCTGATTCCCTAGATATATCTCCTTTGATACTGAACCTTCAGTTCATCTTTTAGGATGTCAGTCAATTATTATTTTACAGTTGATTTGCAATTTTCTCCTTTGACAATCAGTTTCACGTGGTGTCCCTATTGCTTTTCTCTTATGCAATTCTTAGTTCACATCTACATTTCATCAATTCTACAACAAACATTTTCATGTTTCAACATCTCTGAAATTGGAATGCATCATATAATCAATGGAATCATAATTATTTGGCAGCATTTCTTTTTTGATACACAAAATGATGATGAATCTGATAATCAATGATGTCTTACACCTGATGAAATACAGTATATAAATTACTACTTGTTTCAGAGTAATAAAATAGGCAGGTGAATCCAACACATGTAAACAATGGGAAAGAAAAGAAATTCCTAAATTAACAAATGTTTCCTTGTGGCTTAATTTTGAATCAATATTTCATTGGCAAGGCCAATCTCGGTGTAAAGGTAATGAGAGCTAAAACACTGAATACAAGAACAATAGTTAAAATGTCTTGCAAATGATCTTGTCCAAAGCAGAATCACTATTTACGAGTGCATTATTCAAAATTTAATATTCAGTGAGCTGAACTTGAAGCGAATGTGACTAGTTAGCCTAGTTAACACTACCTGAATCAGAAAGGAATGTATTCACCTCCTCATCTAACAGTCTAAATTATTTATTAGTAAATCACTTTTATGAAAGCTTCTGCAGAACTAACCTTAAATGCAGCTTCTAAACCACTGCAGTTAAAGAAACCTTCACAGAGAATTGTCCCGAGCCTTCTGTCAAAATCCAAAGTTTTGGACTTAAATGCAACATAATCACTTTCAAACTCCTGTAAAATTCCAAGTAAAATATTAGTTTATAGGAGAGAATCCAACAGTAAAAATAGCAATCACACATGGCCTTCCTTTCTTTCTCTCTGAATGAATTTACTTTTCATAGCAGGATTCCAGGGAAGATCAAGAAAGAACTATATCTGCCCAACTGTGCAAGTGGCCACCTTTCAGAGACACGAAATGCTTAGCACTGTTGCCCTGTTCTTTCACATTTCTTTTCACTGGCTCAGACATCAACATCAGTGCTTTGGCCTGTATGCTTACACAGAAGCACCACTCTGTTCCCCTTCCCTCAATCCATTTTGATTATAAATGAAAAAGTAAAGCTTTTCGAAAAACAAAACAAAACAAAAAAATATATCCTCAGTATAACCTTAGTCTATCTATAATTTTAAGCAGGAGGGTTATTTTGTTTGTTTTTCATGGAGTAGAAAACCTACATGGAAACACTATTTCTTCAGGTGAGAACCAAAATCCACAAGCTGTAAGAAAATATCATTAGGGATACAGAAGAAACAAATATTCTTACAGTTTCCCAGTTTCTTATTAATATGCAGTTACCAACCCCCAGTTTCCTCCTAATACATAACCACCCACTCCCATAATTAAAAAGAACGAAATGATGAAAGAATAACTATCATCTTCATAGCACTTGCAGCAGCTTCAGTGAAGAAGTCCCAGGAATTCAGAAACGCTTTGGTGCTTTATAGCCAAGTAGATCCTGACGTGTACACCACAGAAGGCCTTTGCCCCCTCTGTAAACTCAGTCTCCGTCTATTGACAATACCAGTTATATAATAATGACAGCTAACACCTATTTCTGTTCTAAATGTTTCACACTATTAACTCAGCTTTTACAATAACATAAGATATAAGTAATCTTTTTTTTTCTATTTTTATAAGTGACAAAACAAACTCAGAGGAGTTAAAACATTTGCCAAAGATCACGCCCTCAGTAAATGGCAGAGATGGAATTGAAAGCTATGCAGTCTGGCTCCAGAATCCACACTCCCAAACAGGAGGCTATGCTTCTAGGAAAGAATGCACGGGCTTGGTTCTGAATGTTTATGTCGCTCCTAAAATTCACATGTTGAAATCCTAACCCTCAAGCTGATTGTATTAGGTAGTGATGCCTTTGGGAGGTGATTAGGTTACAAGAGCAGAACCCTAATGAGTGGGATTAATATTCTTATAAAAGAAGCGTGAGAGAGACTCCCTGGGCCTCTCTACCATGTGAGGCCCCAGCTAGTGGGCACCATTTATGAAACAGAAAACAGCCCTCACCAGACACTGAAGTTGCTGGCACTCTGATCTTGGACTTCCCAGCTTCTAAACTGTGGAAAATATGTTCCTGTTTATAAGCACCCAGTTTATTGTATTTTGTTATAGCAGCCCCGATAGACCAAGATAGCACCTTATGCTGAATTTAACACACATTGAAAAACAAAGCATAACAGTAAATTTCTAGAACACGATATGGCACACACCACAATGCCATATTTAGCTTCAAGAGGAAGTTTACACTTCTCCTGAATTAGAGCCAAGTAATCTCTTCCTGCAAGGATCACTGACTTTTAAAAGTAAACACAACTTCCCAACAAGTTTTAACAAGCCTAACTTCTTACACTTCTCAGTATGGTAACAAAGAACATACAACTTAACAATCCTCAAACATTGTGTGAGCACTTAGAGATAAAGTAATATCTCAAGGAGGGAAAACTGCAAATTTCCATCCTTGATATCTCTCCCTCACCCCCCACCCAGACTGTCATTCCTGACACCAAATTTAGAACTACACGTGAGACCTCTCCCTTAGGAAGTCCCACAAAAAATTCAGTTATCTGGTAGTGAGAAACATAAAAACATAACTGTTTCTCAATAAATATTTATTGGAGAAGAAATGAAGTACTAGTATTCCTCCCGAATCATTATAAAAATATTCCAGTATTCTGAAAACTACAAAATTGCCTTTACGAGTAACATAAACATCCAAATTGGAAACGAAGAAGTAAAATTATCTCCATTCACAGATGACATAATTCTATATGTAGAAAACTACAAAGATTCTGCACATTAAAAAACAACTGTAAGAATTAATAAAGAAATTCACAGCTGGGAGCAGTGGCCCACACCTGTAATCCCAACACTTTGGGAGGCTGAGATAAGAGGATTACTGAGTCCAGGAGTTTGAGAACAGCCTGGGGAAGATAGCAAGACCTTGTCTCTCCAAAAATTTAAAAATTAGCTGAGTGTGGTTGTGTGTGCCTGTAGTCCTGGCTATTTGGGAGGCTGAGGTGGGAGGATCACTTGAGCCCAGGAGTCTGTGTCTGTGGTGAGCCATGATCAGTCTGGCAATAGAGCGAGACTATGACTCAAAGCAAAAACAAACAGATTCAGGAAAAATCACCTGTATTTCTATTAATTATCAACAAGCAATCAAAAAATATTTTTATTTATAATATCATTAAAAAGAATAAAATACTCAAGAATAAATTTAACCAGGGGTGCAAAAGACTAATACACTAAAAACTATAAACATTGCTAAAAGAAATTAAAGAAGAAAGAAATAAGTGAAAAAACATCCTGTCTTCATGGACTGGAAGATTTGGCATTGCTGAGATGACAATATTACCCAAAGGAATCTAGAAAGTCAATGTAATACCTATCAAAATCTCAGCACTTTCTACAGAAATATAAACAAATCCATCCTAAAACTCATATTGAATCTCAAGGGACACTGAATAGTCAAAACAATTTTTCTTTCTCAAACTTGAAAAACTAACACTTCCTGATTTCAAAAATTACTATAAGGCTACAGTAATCATAATAGTGTGGCACTGTCCTAAGGAGAGAGATATATAAGTCAATGGAATATAAATCCCAAAAATAAACCCTCACAAGTATGGTCAAATGATTTTCTGACAAAGATGCCAAAACTATTCAATGGAAAATGGATAGTCTCTTCAGCAAATGGGGCTGGGAAAACTGGTTGTCCATTTGCAAAATAAAGTTGAACCCTAACTTTTTCATCATATAAAAAAATTAACTCAAAGTGGATCAAGGCCTTAATTGCAAGAGTTATAACCAAAAAACTCTTAGAAGAAAATATTGGAGAAAATCTTCTTGACATTGGATTGGACAATGATTTTTTTGGATATGAAAACAAAAACCTTTGAATACTTACATATAGAGGGAACATACCTCAAAATAGTAAGAGCTATCTACAATAAACCCACAGCCAACATATTGCTAAACAAACAGAAATTAGAAGTATTTCCCTGAATCAGAACAAGACAAGACTGCCCACTCTTACCCCTCCTGTTCAACATAATGCTGGTAGTCCTAGCTAGAGCAATCAGACAAGAGAAGGAAGTCAGGGTATCCAAATAGGAAAAGAGGAAGTTAAGTTATCCCTCTATGCTGACATTATGATCCTATACCTTGAAAAACCAAGAGAATCTGTCAAAAACCTCCTTGCACTGATAAAGGACTTTGGCAAAGTCTCAGGGTACAAAATAAACAAGCAAAAGACAATGCTTATACACCAACAACAGTCAGAAAACCAAATAAAACGCACAATTCCATTCATAATAGCTACCAAAAAAATGAAATATCTCGACCTTTACAAAAAAAACAAAAAACACTGCTCAAAGAAATCAAAGAAGACACAAACAAATGGAAAAATATTCCATGCTCATGGATTGGAAGAATCAACATTGTTAAGATGTCCGTCCTACCAAAGGCAATCTACAGATTCAATGCAATACCCATTAAATTACCAACATCATTCTTCTCAGACCTGGAAAGGACAATACAGAAATTCATATGGAAGCATAAATGACCACAAATAGCCAAAATGTTCCTTAGCAAAAAAAAAAAATCAAAAACCAAAAACAAAAAAACAAAAAAACAAAGCAGGAGGTATCACATACTTCCAGACTTGGAACTTTACTATAAGGCTACAATAATCAAAACAGCCTGATATTGGTACAAGAACAGGCATTTAGAACAATGGAACAGGATAGAGATTCTGGAAGTAAAACTTCAGTTTCTCAACCAACTCATCTTTGACAAAGCCTCCACCAACAACCACTGGGGAGAGAAGAACCTATTTAATAAATGGTGCCGGGAAAACTGGCTGACCACATGCAGAAGATTAAAACAGGACTCTTACCTATCACCATACACAAAAATCAACTCTAACAAAGAAATCAAAGATGACAGAGACAAATGGAAAAATATTCCATGCTCATGGATTGGAAGAATCAACATTGTTAAGATGTCCATTCTACCCAAGGCAGTCTACAAATTCAAAGCACTACCCATTGAAGTATCCGCAGCATTCTTCTCAGACCTGGAAACAACAATACAGAAATTCATTTGGAAACATGAACAACCATGAATAGCTAAAACAATCCTCAGGGGGGAAAAAAAAATGAAACAGGAGGTATCACACTCCTAGACTTTAAGCTTTATTATAAAGCTACAAAACAGCCAATGGAATAGGAAAGAGATTTCAGAAGCAAAACCTCAATTTCTCAACCAACTGATCTTCAACAAAGCCTCAACCACCCACCACTGGGGAGAGGAGAACCTATTCAGTAAACAGTGCTGGGAAAACTGGCTAACTACATGCAGAAGATTAAAACAAGACCCCTACCTATCACCATACACGAAAGTCAACTCTAAATGGATCAAAGACCTAAACTAAACATAAAACCTCAAACTATAAGAACCTTAGAAAATGCAGGAGACATCTTTATGGAGATTAGAACTGGCAACCAACTCCTGATCAAAACCCCAAGTGCCAATGCCATAAGAGATAAGATAGACAAGTGGGACCTCATCAAACTGACAAGCTTCTGCAAAAAAGCCATCAGGAGAACAGGGAGACAGCCCATGCATTGGGAAAAAATATTTGCCAACTGTATGTCTGACAAAGGCCTAACATCTAGGATCTACAAGAAACTCACATTTGCCAAAAAACAAACAGCCC